GGGGGGGGGGGGGGGGGGGGGGGCTTTGTCTCAAATATTTTGTGGACGATTTAGCCAGTTGCATTACACACAGACCAGCAGACAGTACAGTAATATATCAAAGTTTAGCTTTTTTGACACATAATGCAAGCAAATTAGAAGTTCGAGGTTCTGTATACATGTATTGTATTAATTGTATTAGTGTTCTACGATGCTGATCAGACTCGAATGACTTTGCATTCCTCCAGGACACCAACCAGTGCAATAACGAGGCCAATCATGTTTTTGGCGAGAAAAACAGCGGAATCAAAATCGTAGTAGAACCACAACACTAGGCGAATAATCAGGAAAGCCAAGTTTAAAAAGATTTGAAAAGCAATATTAACCCATGCTGTTTTCTCGCGCTGCGTCGAGTCACCATTTCTGTCAAATTTTATTTCGTATACTTCAAGCGGAGACAGGATGAAGAACAGTAATGCGGCGATTAAAACAGCAATCTCCCATTCCATGGGTATCTTGTTACATATATCTTCATGTAAGACTTCTACCATTTCAATGCCATCAAAAAGATCCATAACTGTTGTGAGATAGAGTTGTTTCAATGTCCCATTTTCATCCGTGACCGAGGTTAATAATAGCAACATTAGTCCTGGGGTGAAACATAGCGTTATCTTCAGGAACTTCGAGTCGAAGAAAGAATGAGGCTGATTAGTGTAATTGAGGGTCGTATTGAACTTGTACAAACATGTGGCTATTTCTTGTTCTCGTAGTTTATTGTCCTCTATTAACATCCATCCGAAAATAACCGCAAACCATAATCACCAGCGCACACGAATACAGTAACCAGACGACACTTAAGCGACGCTCGAGATTCTTCTTATGCAAAGTATGAAACCAATATCCAAGTGGTATGCCAAACAACCCAGCCAGGCCATAGAAACCGTAGTTCTTTTCATGGTCCACAAGAAACTGCGATAACAGAACGGCTTGTGCAGCAGTAAATACAAAAAAGAAAACCCTGCTTATTACAGAAAGCTTCACTGGAAACAACGCCATTTTTTTGTTACTCGAAGCAAGGAGTGCCGACAATGAAATTCATTTGAACAGCTAGGACGTCCAATGCCGTGTGGATGGAATGCGGAATGAAATAGATATGTTTTGCATAGTAAACACTTTTCACTTTATAACAGACAAACGAATATTTCTATAGTTTACATACATAATACAACGACATGCGCCGCTATCGACTATTGTAGTTGACCGGTTACAATACAACGCAAGAAAAAATGATTTTCTGGTTACATTTCTAAGGTTTAAAAAAGTTGCAAGCTAAGCCAAAAATGTTCGCATATAGTGTTTCATTTTTCCAAGAAACTGGATTCTAAGAATACTGAAATAGTATTCTTAGAATCCGCGGCTTTTCCTTCTGCATCGTTCTATGATTTCGAGAGTCACGCCTGGAATTGCCTGGAATGGGACATTAGTGTGTTTTGATTTATTGTATGATATAGACAACTATGGTTGGACAGCATTCATTTTCTTTACTCAGGAAAAATTCCCTTGGCTTTCAACTCATCTTTCACTCTGTTCAAGTAGTCTGAATCTGGATAACCAAAACTACAAATAGAAATACGATCAGTATAAGCAATTCATTTGTCGGTAAATTGTCATTGGTCTAAAAGTATACACAGTTAAAAAATACAACCAGTGGTTCAGTCAGCTTTGAGTTGAATCTTTTCAAACATGCAGAATTAAAAAATCCATATCAAGAAAGTAAGGGTGCTTATACATCCATATCAAACTGGTAATTTACGCAACCATGCCTTTCCATATCCATCCACCCGTTCTCCCTCCCCCCCTACTTTATTCTTTCACCCTCCTACTTGACACTCACCCCTGTGGTCCTCCAGTAATGCTAGTTTTATGATGAATGTCATTCCACGTGACAACATTATCCTGCCCGGTTGTGTAGGACCTTCCTACGGTAAATGTCAAGTTATTATCAAACGCCTTCCTCAGCATGCGTAGTACAACATCACCCTCTCTATTTGCAGGTAAATACGCCTGACGTGTGGTGCCTGAAAATGCCTGACCAGGTCTGGGATGCCGGTTGTCTTGACGACCACTTGGTATGGCGTAGGTTATGATGTGACAACCATGTCCTTCGTAACCTGGCAAATTTTGTGGTGACCGCTGAACAGTCATTGTACCGCTAGGTTGGCTCCCCTTAGTGATCCCATACACCTGTTGACATATTGGGCATTTCTTTTGATATGTGAATGCTTTGTCGATACATGACTTGCAAAACCTATGACCACATTTTGGCAAAGACGTTGCATCTGTGAATGGGTACCGGCATATTGGACACTCCAAACACTCTTTACCTAAAATGTTTAAATGAAAATATCATAGAAAATATTTTCAGACGGTTCTTGAATTAGGGTATATCAAGGCACTGTGTTAACGAAATAAAATATGTATTAACATATAAAAAATATATAGACTATACAACGATTAATAGGAATCGACAAGTCTCCTGTACAATTTCGGTGACTATACCACTGTGCCCATTGTCATTGAATTCATTGAGTTACATAGTCTGCCAACTGAGGTAAGACTGTTGGTAGAAGTTGTCACATTGTCATTGACAAAAGCAAAGTTAAGTGAGTCATTTAATTAAGTAGTGTGTTAAAGCACATGCATTCCTTACCAAAATAAATATAATTTTGCAATTCCAAGTTTTTGGCATTACCCTTGGCTAAAAAATGTGTGGCATTACTAACCTTGCATTATGACGGGGCAGAAAGTAGCAATATGAGTTTCGTGGTAGCAGTTATCGTTGCTTTATAAACATGAACCAACTTCGTCTTCAGAAAACGAAAGTAAGAAACAGGAAATAGACCACTAAGAAATTCCAAGTAATCGTGATATTGGAACGACGGATAAAATTTCATGAGGTAAACACTGTGACATTTTGACTTTATTATTAACTCTTTTTTAGCAATATCAAACATTAATCAGCCTTGTGTCTCATGGTGATACTCGTATTTTACTGTAACGCGAGACATATATACGTGTCAGTGAGAGAGTACACACAATGCAAATAATTCTATCATTTCAGAAACAAACACATACATATCCCATTTCATATCCCACATACTTTACATATATATACTGTGCGATTAAAAAGTTATTTAAATTAGGTGTCTAAATGACAAATGTTACTACTTTAAATCTTAAGCCTGGTTTACACTATGAAAGTTTCTGTGATCACAGTAGGAATTTTGCACAGGTAAATTCTAAGTTTTAAAGGACTTGTAAGAAATGTTTGAGAGAACTGTCTCAGTGTTAGACAATGAGTCAGTTCCCTCGAATATTTCATACAAATCTTTCAAGACTTAGAATGTACCGATGAAAAATTCCTACTGTGATCACAGAAACTTTGATAGTAAAAACCAGGCTTAAATGTCCCCACTTTAAATCTTACAAATGTTTATAGAAACTCGCGGCTGCAACGCGTTCCAATTGCGTTCGAACAATCGAACTGGTTGTGGAACATAACTGGAACGCGAATGTTGTGCAAGATGAACAGTGGTGTGGACCGGCAATATTATGGAAGAAATAATATATTCGATTCATTGCACTTTCATCAAATAATACCGATGGTAAATTTTAACTCAGGATCATTAAGACCAATTTACACTACACAACTTTTGCCTAAAACTGTCACATGCAACCTGCTTACAACTTGAGTTGTACTGTGGAAATCAAGCATATAACTCATCCACGTTGTCGTAGTTGAGTTGTAGGCTTGATTTACACAGTATAACTCAAGTTGTAAGCAGGTTGCGACAGTTTTAGGCAAAAGTTCAGTGTGCAGTGTAAATCAGCTTTACATGCATACCAGGTGATCTCGTGTTCGTATTTTAGCCAATCAGCGCTCAGAAAGGGTTGTCCGAATAGAAATCCATTTTGATGTATTCAGTCAATTATATCTTTCGTTATTCTTTATGAAACTATTTGAAATTTTGTAATTATGTTTGGTTATGAGAACTCTAGCTCTGACAAAAATATGTAATCGAAATAAAGTATATTAATGGAGATATTCAGTTGTTTTAATCATGAAATGGATTTCTATTTGACAACTAGTGCCAGTACTTTTCCGCGTATCAAGATCATCTGGCCTATTTAAGAGCTATATATATCCAGTGCAAGATCACTCCAGTTTTATAGACAACCGGCATCGTCTGTTCTCCTACTCGGGAACAATTCCCTTGGCTTTCAACTCGTCTTTCACTCTTCTCAGATAGTCTGGATCTGGATAACCAAAGCTGAAGAAAAAACAAAATAGCTGTTGATTGTTTGCAAATCAAATAACGCCAAGGGATAAAAATGATAGGTCAGTGTTACAAGATAGCAGATGGTGCTCAACTTCAGAACTGTTACTAGTCTTACTACTTTATATAGAAGCAAGAAATCTCAATTCTACTGATTAAGCTTTATTCACAATTCTATTCACAAGACATCATTTTCTCATTGTGATAACTGCTGGTTGGCCACCATTTGCTGCACGTTAAAGCTAAGTAAAACTGACTCTCATTTTGAACTCATTTATATATATACCATTTCAGAGATTGAAGACTAAAAAGAGAAGCGTGACTCACTTCTGCGGTCCACCACTAGGGTTAGTTTTATGATGAATATCATTCCATGTCACACAATCCTCTTGTCCAGTTGTGTTCGACTTTCCAACTGTGAAAATTAATTTCATATCAAACGCTTTTTGCAGCATTTTTAATACAACTTCACCCTCTTTAGTCGCGGGTAAAAACGCCTGACGTTTCGTGCCCGCATATTTGTGGCCCGGCTTAGGGTGTCTGATGCCTTGACGACCGTTCGGGATGACGTAGGTTATGACGTAACAACCATACCCTTCGTAACCAGGCACACATTTGTGGGAAAATTGGATATTCATAGTACCATCTGGTTGGTCACCCTCACAAGCACCATACACTTGTTGACATATTGGGCATTTCTTTTGATAAGTGAAAGCTCTCTCGATACAAGACTTACAGAATGTATGACCACATTTTGGCAAGGACACTGGATCTGTGCAAGGGCAGTAGCATATGGTGCAGTTGTCACCTAAAATGTTGAATATTGGAAATAAACAGTTAATACAGAGGTTTCAATTTTTCCTTGGCTTATCATACTGTCAGTAATACGGGGCATGTAGTAAAACACGGACTACCGGAACACCGGAACACCACCGGAACACCACCATTTTGTTTGCGGTTAGGGGTTAGGGTTAGGGTTAGGTGGTGTTCCGGTGTTCCGGTGGTGTTCCGGTAGTCAGTGTTTTACTACATGCCAGTAATACGGTCCTACTGTGGAATTTGAAATACTATTCAGGCCCATCTTACACGATACGACCATAGTCGTATACGATTCTTATCCTGGCATATGTACTTGAATAAATGCATGTAAAGATGTCACATCTCAAATTACGCCAGAGTCGTTTTCATACGCCAGAATGACAATCGTATCCGACTAGTCGTATCGTAGAAATGAGCAATTCGAGAAACTGACTGGATTTTTATAACAAAACCAAGATGGAAGGTTTTTCAGGATTCTAGCCAGTATTGATCATGCTATTCTCGCCAGTTCGTCATGTGTTTACCCTACGACAGATGATCATATGGGGGAATAAGGGGTAAATTGGGCTAAAGTAGATCAGAAGAAGTTTCTCTGATGGTAGCAGTCCTGGAAAATGTCCGACAGTGCCAGAATCACAGCTGCCAGGAAATTTTAAAAAACTGCGCAGGACATTTTCTTAGATCTTCGCATAAAAATTTTTGTTATCTTGTATACTAGAATGCCAAATTAAAAATTCGAAAAGCATTTTGCAAATTGAAATTATCTTGAACTGGGATTGAAGCTTATCACATGTGCGCGATCATACGTTTTCCGAAATCTACATATATGCATGAACCTTATACTTGACTTACACATGTAATTTTGCTGCCAGTAAGAGAAATATATTTTCTAGGCCAGGATGGTAGAAGATTTTATTGTATACAAATTTCATAAAACAATAACCTACAAGTACCCACCTGAATGTGAAGAGTGTGAGCCAATGCCATTTTGGTCATATCGAACGGTAGTTGTTGAACCAGACTTATCATGTTTACTTAGGGATGAAGATTCGCTTGTGGACACAACTCCTCCATAATGACTGGGGTTGCCTGTGGTGGATGTGTGCGTGGTGGAGCCAAAGGAATTGAATTTTGATTGGTTAGTGGCAGAGGAAGTTGATGATGTGGGATCATTAGGATTTGAGGATGCGAAAGCACCGGTCGTTATTATCTTCACTTTGCTACTGGATGTTGTAGAGATGGCTGGGGCTGATCCATGGTTGATGGTGGATGTTGTAGAGATGGCTGGGGTTGATCCATGGTTGATGGTGGGTGTTGTAGAGATGGCTGGGGTTGATCCATGGTTGATGGTGGGTGTTGTAGAGGTGCTATCCACACCAATCCAACCGGATCCATGTTTGATCCTTGATTTCATCGAGGTGGCGTCCAAACTCCGACCATCTTTCCCAGAATTTTGTAGAGGTTTACGGGCAGCAACCAGGGAAGCTTTCAATCTAGGCGTTATATGCATGTCATCTACAGTCTTCGTTTCAACTGGCTTTTCCTTTTCTTTCTTAGGTGAACTAAAACTGTGTCTTCTTTGTAACTTTCGTCCTTTGAGCATCCACTTGTTGAGCTCCTGGGTGAATGTTTTTGCTATTTCACCGTCTATATTCACTAAGCGAATTTCAAATGGCCTTGCACTGGGGTCTGACGCTAATTTCTGATCAACTTCATCAACAAAGGAGAACGTAGCTTGTGCACAGACCTCCTTGGGGACTCCATAGATCCCAGAACTGATTGCAGGCATAGCCATAGACTTTGCTCCATGCTTTATTGCAGCTTTGTACACATTCATAAAAACAGCCCGAAACAACTTCAAACAACCATCTCTACCATCTCTCTTCCACCGTGGACCAACTGCATGAACAATGTACTTGCAATGGAGAAACCCTGCTTTGGTTACAGCAACATCACCTGTTCCCAAAGCCCCATGTTTACGCACGTAGTCGTCTGAATCTCTTTGAACAGAAAGCCCTCCTGCCTTAGATATTGCAAAGCTCACCCCACCCGCATGGTCAAGGTGTTCATTACATGCATTCACTATAATATCTGCATTTTCTTTGGTTAAATCACCTTGGTAAACTACAACCTTTAGTTTGTTTGTAGTTTCATGTGTCAATGCGTCTTTGGACGGACCTTTAGGTGATATACATCTTGGCCTTTCTACACCAATCTGCTCACGAATCCACAGCTTAGCCTGACTGAGTGATTGACCTGTGCCCCATAAGATGTATGTACTACCATCTGCAGATATCTCCAAGATTAAGTCAGAAACATGCCGAGGTGTGGCATTTAATGCCATTTTCAAAAGCTCCTTATTATAACCTGCTCCATCTTGGTTAACATTAATGGAAAGGCTTGTAATATTATTATGGAAGTGGCGATACATTGCTGCAAACTGATCACAAGCAGTATTAAATAAATCACTATTGTAGTTTGTGCTTGAATGAGTTTTAATGTGAACTTTTGTGTGGTCTTTAGACCAACTAATCTTAACTTGGTATTTTTGCTCCAAATTCTTCAAGTCACTGTCATGGAAGCTCTTCATATACTTTGCTATTGGTGGTGTAATATCATAGGTAGCTCTACCAGGCTTAGAACTTATGCTTTCACTATTATCGGATGAACTAGTGCTTCCGCGTCTAGTGCTGTCTTCCTCAATTACATTGCGGATAATTCGTCTGGTTTCCGACACTTGTTCCCAGGTCCCCGAGATCAAAACCTCGTCAGCGGCTTCATGGTATTGGGCCCCAGTTTTTTGGCAAGCTTTCTTGAGTTCTGCTTCAAGAATTTTTCCTGTTTTCAATGAAACTCGTCCAGTTACTTTCTCAAAAAGCTAGAAAAGTCGAGGTATTGTCAAGTACAAATATACAAAATTTGTAAAGAAAATGGCATATTATGAAAACATCTTTTATGGCTGTATGACCACACAGACTTATATATGCTGTAGTCATACAGTCACAGTCCATCATGGTGTCTTCAGAAATACTGTTAGTAATAAATACCTCAAAGTGGTTCATAATGTCTTCTGTTATTACCAGGTTTGGCTAATATATTGCAGCAACTACCTACAGAATTTAGAAAACAGAGAAATACTAAGGCTGGTTGTTCAAAGCTGGATAATAGCTAGCATTAACCCTGGGTTAAATTTAACCCCATTTTGGTTTGCGGATTTCTGCACACTGGTTTGTGTTATAGCCTTGGCAAATAAAACTTTTATTCAGCAAGATATGATTTTCTTGAAAAATTTTTCTAACTTATAAGCAAGCTGTTGGGAAATTTGCTTTGACGTTTTACACATTTACACTAACCTAGCATAACCATGCATTTTCTCAGTACACAGATGCCCAAGTCATGACCAGTGAAACTGAATGAGGAGGGGGGAGGAGGAGGAGGAAGGGGGAAGGATCAAATGTAAATGTAGACTAATCTGGGTGGTCATACAGCTAAGGGGTACTGCCTTAGGACTTAATTCATTGATGCTTTAGAATGTCTACCTTTCAAAAAATGCTATGTGAACTCCCATGATAATTTGGGTTAGCACCAGGGATGGATTTACTGGGGGGGGTGCGGGGGGGTGCACACCCCCCCCTAGCCCTGGCCAGGAGGGGTGCAGGGGGGGTGCTATTTTTCATGATAAAGCAAAAAATTATCAGAGACAAAATGAGATTCAGTAATTTGAGTAATAACATGATGATAAGCGAACTGTGAACAACAATTACAATTCAAATACTGTAGCTAGACTTTGCAGTGGTTAAGCAAGTTGATGGATGTGTAAAGTCACTGGAAAGCAATTGCAACGTACTCGTCCGGAAAATTTTTTTTCCCTAAAAAGTTGTCGATGGGGGGGGGAAGGTTGAAGCTTTCCTGGCAGAGCACCCCCCCTAAAAGACCATGCTGGATCCATCCCTGGTTAGCACTATTTTCCATCCAACAAACTGACCTGACGTCATTTTCGGAAGATGGAAATTGTGTTGAATGGCTATATGTAACTAACCCAAACCATACCCCTACTACTCTAACCTCAATACACAGATGCCGAAGTCATGACCAGTGAAACTGAATGAGGAGGGGGGAGGAGGATGGGGGGAGGGAGGGGAAGGATCAGATGTAAATGTTGACTAATCTGGGTGGTCATACAGCTAAGGGGGGGGGGGAGGGTACTGCCTTAGGACTTAATTCATTGATGCTTTAGAATGTCTACCTTTCAAAAAATGCTATGTGAACTCCCATGATAATTTGGGTTAGCACTATTTTCCATCCAACAAACTGACCTGACGTCATTTTCGGAAGATGGAAATTGTGTCGAATGGCTATACTAACTAACCCAAACCATACCCCTACTACTCTAACCCCTAGCCCTAACTGCAACACTAACTCTAACCGAATTAATAAAAAAATCCAAAAGAAACGACTTTAGAAAATCGATAGGGCGGTATGCTGTCTAGATGGAAAATAGTGCTAACCGATAATTTGTTGCAAACATGCATAATTCATTGACATTGCATATAATATACTCCTGCAGAGAAACTGTCTTCATATCAGCTGAAATTTGGCCTATCTATATTTCTGATTTCTATATAAACAAAAAATTGACAGCGATATGAAAGCTATACGATTCACGTGAGGTTTCCTTTTAACCCATGATGGCATCATTGGCATGCTATCTATCCATTACTTTATTTTACTATTTGTAAGTATAAACCTTTTCTATTAATATTGAGAACACTGAACACCCAAGCACTGTCAAGACATCAAATTTAAATCATAGGCAATCGAAAAAGACGAAAATATCAAAATTATTGACTGTCTATCATAAAATCAACAGGACATTTGTTTTTTTTATATATAAAAATATTTGTGTTAAAATTGCACTGTATTATAGCATCTATACATCCTATTTGTACTTACCTTAATCCCAGGAACAGTAAATGTCTTGTACGTATTTTCAATATGGCTTTATGAACAAAGAAACAGGAACAAACTACCGTCCTAAATATATATTCAAGGCTTGGACCAAGTTCTTCTTTAATACATTACGCAGTACGCAACCGTTTTGTTGTTTTTGGAGCATTCATTTATAATTTGCATTTAAAAAACCGCGTCTGGCTGCTTCCAAGAAATAGCGTTCTTGTAAAGGATATTTAATACGCAGTTTCGCTTTCAAATTTGTCCATTTTACACTGTTCACAATCAATGTTTACAATTCCATTGTCGTGGTAGCTGATCTTCCTACTAAACCAACCAATCAAAATCAAGAATGACGACCAATTGACCAATCGCACGCGTTCTCCGGAAGTGAAGCAATATCACAAAACAAAGATGGCGGCGACAAGGAATGCGTAATGTCTGACGCAAAACAATACGAGGGAAAGTCCCATCACAAAAAAATTTTAATTAAAATGACTGATTCAAAAATCTGTTTGTCAAATCAATCATCTTTCTTCTCTAAACATGCTTTTTGTTGGTTAATTGGAATCAGGATAATATGCATTTCGGAAAATAAGATGGATGTGCAAGAGAAAGGGCCGGGAGAAAAACCTCTACATAGAGTCGCTACATAAGTTCCAAGGAGTGGCTATGCAGTGTTCTTGCCAGGAAGAGTCCTGCTGAGTCTGAGTGCAATGCATTGGTGATTCATCAAAAGTTAATTAATGAGACTATTATAGGAAGTCTAGGAAAAACCTTTCCCATACTTTTTCGACTTTATATTACAGTATTGTTTTAAAATCACTGCTTGCATACAATATCTACTCTATAATATTTATTGCATGTTTTCTTTGTACTACAAATCTCTGTATATACTATAATCTATCATAAAGTTTTGCGGCCTTAAACATATTGAAGATAGTTTGGTTTATATCCAAGGTTTTTCGTCTAGTTTTGAACTCTACTGTCTAGCGACCACCCAAATGTGGAGGTACTGAAAGAAAAACAAAACACAATAAGCACTATCATCAACACTTGTAAAACTCATTTTATATAGAAGGACCTGAAGGGGTAAGTGGGAACTGGGATTTGCGTATTTTTGGACCAGGAAAATGAGATTTGGGAACTGGGAATGAAAGACACAAAAATGGGAAAACCCAAATCCCATTATAAAGACAGTTGTAGTTGGACAGTTCAGAGTGAAATAACTTTAAGAACAGCTGCAGAGAAATTTTTGATAGAGAATTTGTATAAAAACGTCCAGGAATGTTGAATTTAACCGACTAATAGCTCAATGAGATCATTTTTCTGCTATCGTAAGTCACTCATGTACCTTTTCATCGGCAAAACTAGTTCTAAAGAGGGCAATTGAAAGCAGAATTGTGTTTAAAAGTAATCACACAGATGAACCACCTGCTCTGGGATTTTCTTTCAATTTCACAGAGGGACTGGGATTTCATATAAAAAAGTTCTGGGAAATTAGTGAAATTATATCCACATGTCCCAAATTCTCTTGATTTGCATAAACGTTTGCCTCGATTTTCTCATTTATAATCAATTTTAATTGAATAATTTCTTACAATCTTCTCGCTTGTATATCTAATACAACATGGCCGCTCATGCTGTTTATATGTAGTAGGCCCTGGGAACGAGGTTGGTAGTAGGCTTGCATTTGGTGACCAAAATTCAAAAGATAAAATGGACTATATACAATTCAATTTCCGTGTTCCTATCAATGTAAACATTTGCCGTGTAATCGTATTGTACCTGGAATAAACGGAGGAGGTCTATTGCCTTTCTTTGGTACGGTCATCACCTTAATCGTCGGCTCTGTTTAAGATAAAAGATAAGGGAGTATTAACCAATCAGATGCGTTTGATATATCCGATTAACCAATCAGATGCGTGCTAAGGCAGTGAGAGGTAGCGGTAGTGGAAGTCAAATTTGAAAGTCATCTTTGTTAATTGAGGAAATAGAGAGTAAAACAAAATAGAGTAAAATATAAACAGGAATTACTAATTACCTTTAGTGTCTGGAATAACATATGAAGAATCTAATGAAAAAAGAAGAAACGATATAAAAGATGTTTGTGATGTTACTCTGAGTGTATATCCACACCGGACAAGCTTGAAAAACATGCCTGGCCACGGTGGGAATCGAACCTACGACCTTTAGAATGCTAGCCCAATGCTCTGCCAACTGAGCTACGCGGTCTGGTCGGTTCGAGTATGTGATATTTCGGAATTGAGTCTAGTCCCTTCGATATCAATGCAATCTAGTAATACGAGTAATAATAGTAATACTCGAACCGACCTGACTGCGTAGCTCAGTTGGCAGAGCATTGGGCTAGTATTCCAAAGGTCGTAGGTAAGTAGGTTCGATTCCCACCGTGGCCAGGCATATTTTTCAAGCTTGTTCGGTGTGGATATACACTCAGAGTAACATTACAAACATCATATTCACCTGAATACATAACATTAACAACACAGAAAAAGCAATATAAAAGATATTTTACACAAAAATGAACATGACACTGGAATACGTACACGTGACTTCATAAATAACCATAGTCAATGCCGCTCCCACACAAACTTGGTCGTTCACGTTGCATGTAAAAGGTTCAGGATTTTTCGACCAACATTTTGATTTGTCATGTAGGCGTCGAGTTTCAACGTCAATATTATTGAGATTGCCAACCCAACACTCGTAGTAATGTTGTACACCAAAATACAAGTTACCTCTCTTTTTAGCTTCTTCAGAACACCTTAATATAGACAGAGCTGGGTTATGTCTCAGGGATTGACTGTAAGAATTATCAATAATTTATCATGCACTAGATGGTAGTCAACTTGCAGTTATCAGAGTGAGAAGTTGAATTCCTTTCCAAACTTACTTGCAGAGAAGTTTGTCCAAATGTTCATTCCATTTGTCCCCCAACCAATCTGAACTTTTCATTTTCACACTGTGTGCATACGTCATCAATCTGTTCTTTTGCGAGTCCTGAAAGCAGCCAAGTTTCCGTGGACGTTCATTGCATTGATAACCTAGGAACACACGTCTGGCATTTACAACTGTCCATCATTTCATCATTTGTGAACATGTACTATAGTCGGTATGATCTAACCATATTTAATGATCAGCATTGAGTTCTGTACAATATCAGACCGCTGATCGGTATATCAGACTAATGATTAAGGCATCTTACATTCAAGAACACTAATGCACTACCTCTGTATTGACTTTATATGATCTAACCACACTTAACAGTGAGTTCTGTACAACATCAGATGATTAAGGCAGAAGAACCGGCATGCAGTACATCTTCTGCGAACATGTATATATCTTCATGAGTGATAACACAGAAAAAGTACATGTTCTTGAATATAAGTACATGCTCTTAAGCTATTAGCTCACACCATAGTAACCTTCATTCAAGAACATGTGTACCATTATTGAGTGAACTAAACCTGCATGGGCAACTGGGCGAGAACATCCGGCTGAAAGTAATTTTAAAAAGTAACCATTTAACTTACCATTCGCTACACCATAGAGTGCTACGAGTGACAAAACACCAAGATAGAATCGTGCCTCCATGATATTGAACCAAAAATCTTCTTATAGTGCTTCAATTTCCCTTAACTCTAGTTCTGCCACATGCAATGATCCGGCCTCGTCCTATATACCCGGACAATATTGCACATTATCTCATTCCGTGCGCATATTTGCAAGTCAAACATATTGCAATAAGCAGAGCAAACAAAATTTGAATGTGCAAATAAATTTATGAATTCTATAATAATGACATTGTGAGATATCATTTCGGAAGAAAACCCTTTGTTTGTCAAAGAGATGCATTGCAATTTGATGCCGCACGGATTAAATTAAGACACCAACATTTATTAGGCAGCTCTTCGACGCCTCGAGACGAGATTTGCCCTATAGAAATTAAATCAGAAAACACAAAGAAAATTATGACGGTGAAGAAACTTCTATATCTGATATAAAATCATGCTGATTTGGAAAAACTTTAAGCTCACTTTCTCGCCACATATGGATTATTAAAGAATACAAATGTTTCAAGACGAATCGTACATTCATACGCTATAATAAAACATTTCGTGTTATACAAGATATATAACTTGCCTTCAGCTCGTGTTTGCATATCTTAACACGACCGCTCGTGCTGTGTGTAAAACATTGAACAATGTAATACACCGTTTTGATAATTACGTCATTTGGCCTGAGAGCCTCGCTCTCATGAATCGTGAGCCAATCACCTTGCATAAATTACTAACGAGAGCGAGGCTCCAAGACTAAAAAGTATGTGTGACATAATTATCGAAAGGGTGTATTGGTGAGTGTTTTATTTTTGGTTTGTCAGAAATAAAATCAAGGTTTGGACAAAAGAAATCAATAATAGTATTACAAAAAAAAACTTAATCAATTAAGCATCACAAGAGTAGACATAAATTAAAAATCAGTTTTACTTTGTTGACTTTTTTGAGGCTTAGTGTAAACACTGAGTTTAAAATAATTCAACAAAATCATTTCCACTGCCGCGGTATTCAATCAATAATTCGTTGTTTAAACAGGTTTTGTTTGCTTTTGTGTTAGAACTTTTAAAAGCCTGAGATGTTGAGATGAGACTACCACACTGCTTTCCAACCGCGCACTAAAACTATCCCTGGGCACGAGGTTTGATCAACACAATTATCAATCTCGTACTCCGAGCACGCGACATTGCACAATTATTTTATCTCTAATTAATAATACTCATTTGAATCATTTGAAAGTGTAAAAAAGCTAAAATAATTGGAACGATTCAAAAAGGGCCACAAATACTTGTTTCACTCTTCTGTGATCAGAATTGTAAATAGTTAGAGAGAAAATATTTCGCATCTAGGAATTGTGCAGACGCCATAAATTTTTAATGTACACAATGAAATTTTAATTTCCTGCAGTGATTCAGAACGCGACGCAAACACAGCTGAGAATCAAGGCGATTATTCACATAAAAAATGTGAATATATGCGTATGGTAGACGTGGGTCAGAAGCAAAATTAAAGTGAAATAACACATAACTCAATACTAATTATCTAATTTATAAGTATTATTAATTCAAGTATTTATGGACATTTTCATATAGCAAAAGTATTTTAATGTTCTTCTTAAGTTTTACATGTCTTTAGTCAGGAGTAGGTATGACATTTATATTAGGTATATTTTTTTATTTATTTACAAAAACCCCTGCAAATATACGCACTAAAGATACCAATTTGATCCAGAGAGGACAAAAACCTCTAAAATTAATCACGCCCACAAGAAAAACATGCTTATGAAATCAAAGACAGAAAAATTAACATCATTGTTTTCGTTGAATAGGACGCTTATATAACCTTTTTTCATTTATTTATTATTTAAATTTCGAGTGTCTTTCTCACAAAACAGATGTAGGTGATGAATGATAGCTTTCATTTTTCATGAATTATTAACAAATTTTGCAGTATAAAAGCAGGTGGGAAACCTCAATCTTTACTAAAACGTCAGTGTGGTGGGTTTAAATTTTTAGCTCATATTTGAAATCAATTTTGAAAACTGAAGAAGTTCATCTACTATTGAAACGTTTCATCAATATACTGACACAGAAGGTATTTTACATGTAAGTTCAATTATGGCGTAGATAAAATGAAGTAATGAAGTAAAAACCATTTTCACGTAACGTAGCGTTTTCTTTCATGTCAAAGTCATTAACTCTGTTCAAGCTCCTCAGGAAACAAAAAAATACGCTACCGTTACGTTTTCAGTCCAGGGCAACGGATTTATCTAGAGGTAACACTAAAAGCCAGGATACGCCGACATATGTAACCGGTTTATCCCTTGGCCAAAAAATTTTTCCCAAATTGGCGTTCATCAAAATGGGCCATTTGGAAGCAAGCTGACGAGATTTCTAAACAAGCTTCGGTCATGATAAAATCAGGAAAGAAAAGAATTTGTCATAATTATGGAAACTTTGTTGTGCATGTCTTGATTTGTGCATGTATATCACTCCTTTATTCTTTCCATTGCAAATTAATCCCACGCAAGTACAAATGTATAATATTTAATATCAAATTGATAGTAACTCATTCATCAATCGCTACATTTTAAAGCCAACGGCTAAGTAGTCATGGTAATATAACAATACGATATTTAATAAGCAATTTTAATATATTTGTTCCTCTTGTAGTTCCAAAAAATATGACTTGTATTCCATCAAGATGGATTACAGCTGTCTCGCTAGTATTGCATCTTAACTGTTTAAGTTTTCCATCAGTGTCAGGTAAGATGGATTCTTTTTAATATTTGAATAAATACTGACAAGAACGGTTCAAAGTTTACAATGAAATGCACTGAAAGTGCTGATTGCTTTGCCGAATAAAGGATTAAAGATGACTACTGTATAGTGGCTGGTAATAGTATAGTTAAAAATCTCTTCAATCCGCTAAATTTTAAGAACAATGAAAAAACAATAATGGAACGTTCCACCTCTGGACTGGATTCCCAAAGATACTGGATTGACATGCCGATCACTACATCCTGACTGGAAGGCAGCCTTTTCATGCCAAGAGCAA